AATTTTGTGAAACTTTTTTGATCCTTCATTTCATAAAATATTTTGTTCATAAACCTTTACCACTTGATTTTTATTTTGGACTTCACACTTTTGGCTAAACAACAAATGTCAGGCAGTTATGATATTTCAATGAGTATAAACAAAACGAATACTGCAATTCTTACCGGATATTAAATTATTTATATATCTAATGGAACTCTCAACTGGACATATGTTAAAGAATTTGGCAAATATTTTAGAAAAATAAAGATATAATCTTACCAATTTGAAATCTATATTTTTTCTCATTTCATATGTTTTTCTTAAGTACTTGAAACAACATTTATCCAGTTTCATTAAAATTTTTGCAAAGACATTTTAGGCTTTGCTAATATTTGGTTATCCCTATGATCGCTATTTTGCATAATAGTGTATGATTTGTGAAACTGGTCATTTAAAACTTAAAATTATGTCATAAGTAAAATTGGTGAAAGTTTAGATCATTCGAGCACTCCTATTTGCAATAAATTAAAGTATTGATTTTTTAATTTGGACGATAACATAATTACTCTCCATTTGAGAATAAATGGTTGTCAGTACTTTTCCACAATCCCTGGGTCCATGATTCTGCTTTGAATCATTCCCTCGATTATACGAAAAATCATATAGACTAGTGACAACTTAAGTAAATGATACAGAGTAAGTTTCATGTCAAGGAATTGGCTCATCAGCAGCAGGTCGTTGATTTCATGTTGTGTTTGTTGAACCAGTCTTTAACAACGCACTCAAATCCATACTAATGGAAATTGTACCTGCTGAAAGCTGTAAATATTTTATTATAGTTAAATAAGAAACCATTATATTATCCACATAAGGAAATGATTCTACACTAGTATAGTTATCACCGTTTTTATATTCAATAATATTCTTTTTACATACCTGTACTTTACAGGTAACTAGTGATTAATAAACTCTTCATACCACGGACTAAGGCGGCAAAACGTCTAGCTTTAATCCAAACTTTGGATTACAAAAACCACAATGACCCTCACATTTTCCATTAATATGTTGACTGCTCTGTGAGATGTAAATGAACATTGTTATATGTATAATGAATATAACTTTATGCTATAATCATCATTTCTACTATAACTTATTTTGAAAATATTTATAAAAATGGAAATGTAAACTGTTCAAGACATTCCATTTCAACAATATTATTTCTGTGTGTAATGCTCAAATAATATTATTATTTATTAATTATGTGTCAAACTTACAATATTATTAATTTCTACTGATATTCCAGGTGTGCTACTTTTCCAAGTAACATCAGACGATAGTTTTAATTGGGTTCCACTTAAATTAATACTAAAGCGTCCTTGAAAACAATATGCTCGATTGTAGCAATCGCTAACCATACCATACTTGATACGGTCTTTACCTTCTGAACGTGAGAATGTGTAGTCATTCTCTAAAAAATATAATATAGATTGTGATGAATTGCTATTTTTAAAATGTTATGGATGGATTGCTATTGTTAAAATCTAAATATTATCTTACCCAAAATGTGCAATTTAATAAGATCAATTCGTACCCTTCTAAACATTGTTCTACTAAAAATGACTTCACGACCAGTAGCGCAATTACAACTACCATTTCCGTATCCATTGTACAGACATGACTGATGATCTATTAATCTAAAATATATATTTATTATAATTATATGTTTATTAATATTTTTAATCTCTATCTTAACGTTTTGGAATACCAACCTTTTATGATATATTTCTACATAGTTCTCTCGAAAACCAGCTTGCAATGTCAAATATTCCTTTGGTTCATTGGTTGTCATATCGTGACAATAAATATTCATCCATCTTCCATTCACGAATAAGTTGTATTCATTATCTGTACTGTTTCGATAGTATTTTTTTGCTTCGAGGCAAGACATTGGATAACATTTTATTTGGTTACACCTTTGTTTCCGCGGTGGTTTGAATTCGATAGGACAATTCGTACGAACTACTCTCTTATGAGTTCTAGCATTGAAACAGTAAAGTCTTCGTGTCTGACGACCCTTTGGGCCACAAGTATGACTACACTAAAATTCAAAGATACCTATTAATTTTCGAACTTCTTCTGTTATAACATACCTATCATTTCTGTTTTTTTTTTTGTTGACTAGAGATATCCAATACTGAAAAACTTACAGTTTTCCATGGTCCAGCAAACCAATAATACTTGTCACTACATTCTCGCAATTTGCAGACCTGCTGAGAATGTGGTTTCTGATCTGGTGGGCAGTTATCGCTGTATGTTGGATCTGTTAAACCATAACGATTGGTACGATGACAAGTTACTGTCCTATGTTGTATTCCTTCACCGCAATCTGCTGAACACTTAAAACAAAGATGTCTCTTTTTATAGTAATTCTCACCATGTAAGAAAATAGTGTAGTTCATACAATTTATAATATCTGCTACATTATCAATTTGTCAAACAAATCATGGTCATGGTTTCAAATAAATAGACTTTAATTGAATTATAACAATATTTGATGTACAAAAATACTTGTATGAAAAGGAATTATCAAAATATAGCAATAATTTACAATACGTGACAACATAAATATGTAGTAGACAGTATAGCAAGTAATATTATTTCTATAAACGATAAAATACACATAATCCATTCGCAATAATTAAAATCTATAACAAACAGTAAGTATAACAAATTCATGCTCATGCATTGATTATACACAAGTAAAATATATAATAGTTTTTGTATGCACTGTTTTAGAAGCTGTAAAAAAAAAATAAATCATAAATGTATTTGCATAGGAGAATTAAAATAGAACACAGGAATGATGATTAACATTATAATAACTATTTCATTGGTACTACAGAATATAATTTAGTTACTCCCTGCTTGTAGTACTATTAAGTAATAATGAATATTCAGGAGTAATTTGAAAATAAAAATAGTAACTCAATTATTTGCATCATGCATGGCATTCGCATGCTGCATAACAGGAATTATTGTACCGAAGAATCATACAATTTACAAATCCATTTAAAAACGCAAACAATGGAAATAACTTGATTGAATACATATAGTGTCATTAATTTCAGGTAAAATTTCTTTCAAGATATTTAGACATTTTAAAATTGTTCAATACGAGATACTGTTACAGCCAAAAGGAATGTTTAAAAAATTGTTTCGACTGAATTCGTGTTAAATTAAAATAGACGATTGTTTATTATATTTTTACAAATTAATCACTCTGTCATAGCGGAAATATGTATACCAACAGCCATGATAAAGTTAGTACATCAGTTTAATGATCATTATTATGAATCTATTCAGCAATTGTAAGTAAATTAATAAATACTATGTAATGAGATTCTGAATATCAATGTATAACAGATATACATGTACATAATTAGAAAGTTCATCAATCTTCCATTTCCCATTTTCAGCAGTGTACGACTTTTGAATGAGTTTCTAGTATGAAGATTCCCAATTTGAGCATACAGAATCAAGCTTATGGATGAATCATAGATGAAGAACTTTTCATCGATACAGTAATTCTTCAGCAGAATACGCGTCTACATATTGACGAAGCAATTTTCCTGGTGAACCCATCGATAAGCTCGACAATACATTCAACCAAGACGATTTAGACGGGAACAATGTTGAAATGAACAAGAGGCAGGCGATGATATAAAATGTGATCGATAGATCGTAATGGCGAGGTATGGAGGTATATACCTCAGACCAAGTGCCTTCCTGCCAAATATAGTCACACGCAGTGCGCCGGCAAGGTCTCTGCGATCTTGGCTTGGTCAAACCAAGCCTCGAACACTGTTCATCCTTAACGGTCACTTCTGGTCCGTGATTTCCTCGCCTCATCGTGCACTCCACTCTTCGTCTTTGTAGTCCGCTACCACACGATTTCGAACACTGTAAAATATTTTTGTTCGACCAAACTGCGACTGATAACAACTCGGAACTCTCCTTGACTCTCATATCGACGTTTTAGGAAATAATTTCGGTTTCATCCAAACGATACAAATCTTTACGTGTACAACTTTCGATTGGATAACATCCAAGGATTAGTCTTGTCTGACAATATTTTTCACAATTTTTTTGGTCCTACTGAATTATCAGTAATTTTAAAATTACTGTAATATTCTTTGACTAATACTATTTCAATGTTTCAAGTATGGTTTTCATCCTGCACGGAGTTTGTAATTTTACATATTTTGTAATAGCATTCGAATTAAAGGAAAGCCTAAATGTTTACACAGAACGACGAAAAAAAAACATCAGAGTTTAAGATCGTTATGAAATAAACTGTTTGCATGCTTTCCAGAGAACAATATCAAATTGATTTAGACAACGACGATATCAAAGGCTTACAAAAGTGACAAAAAAAAACTCAGCATCGAGTTACATCAAATATTCGATTACATTACCTGCGTAGATTATCTATAAAATAATTTTCTCAAAAATAATAAACACTATCTTAAATGATAAATATACGTAATACACAGGGGGGTAGAAATATTCGAATATGCTTTAGATTTAGAGATGTTCAATTATGATTCTTATGGCTTCGGTTAGCTCTTGCAAATAGGAGAGCAATGTGATTATTATTAATCTAATTCATGTTTGTTGAAGTATGCCAACTTGAGACCGTTATTGCTGTGATCTGGCTCAAAGAATCACAAGTTGAACATCATGGTCTAAAGTATAGATTGCTTTCTGTTCATGCTGGATACGATAAAATATAGGTTTTCAAAGATGTTTAATTTCCAATAATAATATTATTAATACTCACAGCAGTCCAATTAGAGACTTTCCATTTTCGGAAAATGTTCATTTCCATTCGATGCCTTCTGTTGTTATCAGTCTTGCAGGGATGTTTCCTACACGGTCTTACTATCAATGGTTTTTCACTGTCATGACACTTTTCATCCAGTAAGGGTTTACCATTCGGATGCTGACAGCTCACTTGTCGATATTGGAATCCGTTGCCACATTCTGCATTGCACTAAATTCATAAGTTAATAAATTAATTGTCTATATTTAATATATTATATACTATAATATTATATATTATAATACTATATATATTATAATATTATATATAATATTAGATGTATATATACAGGGTGTCCCGAAAATGTCTCGCAATTCGGAAATAGGAGGTTCCCGAGGTCATTTGAAGCAACTTTTTCCTTTGTGAAAATTTTCTCCGAGATTTCGTTTACGAGTTATTAACGAAAAACACTGACCAATAAGAGGCGAGCTCGGCTGGCGCGCGGCGGCCCAGCCAACGAGTGCACGGAGCCCAGTTCCGCTCATTGGCTCGGCCGTCTCGCGCCAAATGATCTCGCCTCTGATTGGTCACTGTTTTTCGTTAATAACTCGTAAACGGAGCCGCGGATTGCATTTTCGCTGAGGAAAAAGTTGCTTCGAATGACCTCAGGAATCCCCTACTTTCGGATTGCGAGACATTTTTGGGACACCCTGTATATATGTTACCAAAATTTCAGTAAAATTGTTAAACAAAGAATAACGATGCTTGTGAGTTATATTTATTATTATTATTCTTATTATTATCTTCGCAAACTATTCGATAACATACATGTCCCCATGCGCCGGTGTTCCACATTGGACATTCGTGACGATTACACGGGATACTTCTGAACGGTTTTCTACTTTTGTCACAGTAGTTATCGGGAGCAGTATTTTCTGTCTCGATGGCAATACACTTCACATCTCTATGCATATAGCCATTGTTGCACGGCTTAGAACACTGAAACAATAACAATGTGCAGTTCGTTTGATTCTGAACAGAACAAGTACACAGATTCAATGAAATGAAAGCACCAACCTTCTTGGGCGATTCAACTTTCCATTTATACCCAGAATGGAAGACAATGTCACCAACTTCATTATCTTGGGAAAATTCTCCGTTTGGTGGATCAGGAGAATACTTAATTGGATTCATCTGTAAATAAAGTGTACATTGTTATGACGCAATTGGTACGCTGCGACGGAGGAAAAGAGGACTCACTATTGTCGCACAAGGCTTGAGTACGCAAGTAACGATCTCTTTTGGTTTATTAGAAGGAGAACATTTGGTGCTTATTGTTCCGCTAGGAGTTTTGCAGGTCACTTTTCTGCTCCTCGTCCCCTTGCCACAAGTAACCGAACACTATACACAGAGGAACAGAGTTACAAAGGATCTAAACTAAATGCACCAAACACAATTTGATCGTGTACCGAGTTCCAGCTATCGGTTTGCCATTGCTCGCAAGGCCCGGTGTTGCACATCTCCACAACCTTAGGAGGCGAATCACCACAGAAGTTGTCCGAGACAACGTGACCATCCATACGACACAAATAACGTTTCTGCCGTTTGCCTGTGCCACATATTGCTGCACACTGTAACCGATATGCATAATAATCATAATTTGTAAAATAGAGCATAGGGAGATGCCAATGTGCTTGAAACTGTTCCGTTCGAAGTGGATTCGATTAGATTCGACATTTTTGATATCACGCGTGTAATTAAAAGTTCCNATATTATATATAATATTAGATGTATATATACAGGGTGTCCCGAAAATGTCTCGCAATTCGGAAATAGGAGGTTCCCGAGGTCATTTGAAGCAACTTTTTCCTTTGTGAAAATTTTCTCCGAGATTTCGTTTACGAGTTATTAACGAAAAACACTGACCAATAAGAGGCGAGCTCGGCTGGCGCGCGGCGGCCCAGCCAACGAGTGCACGGAGCCCAGTTCCGCTCATTGGCTCGGCCGTCTCGCGCCAAATGATCTCGCCTCTGATTGGTCACTGTTTTTCGTTAATAACTCGTAAACGGAGCCGCGGATTGCATTTTCGCTGAGGAAAAAGTTGCTTCGAATGACCTCAGGAATCCCCTACTTTCGGATTGCGAGACATTTTTGGGACACCCTGTATATATGTTACCAAAATTTCAGTAAAATTGTTAAACAAAGAATAACGATGCTTGTGAGTTATATTTATTATTATTATTCTTATTATTATCTTCGCAAACTATTCGATAACATACATGTCCCCATGCGCCGGTGTTCCACATTGGACATTCGTGACGATTACACGGGATACTTCTGAACGGTTTTCTACTTTTGTCACAGTAGTTATCGGGAGCAGTATTTTCTGTCTCGATGGCAATACACTTCACATCTCTATGCATATAGCCATTGTTGCACGGCTTAGAACACTGAAACAATAACAATGTGCAGTTCGTTTGATTCTGAACAGAACAAGTACACAGATTCAATGAAATGAAAGCACCAACCTTCTTGGGCGATTCAACTTTCCATTTATACCCAGAATGGAAGACAATGTCACCAACTTCATTATCTTGGGAAAATTCTCCGTTTGGTGGATCAGGAGAATACTTAATTGGATTCATCTGTAAATAAAGTGTACATTGTTATGACGCAATTGGTACGCTGCGACGGAGGAAAAGAGGACTCACTATTGTCGCACAAGGCTTGAGTACGCAAGTAACGATCTCTTTTGGTTTATTAGAAGGAGAACATTTGGTGCTTATTGTTCCGCTAGGAGTTTTGCAGGTCACTTTTCTGCTCCTCGTCCCCTTGCCACAAGTAACCGAACACTATACACAGAGGAACAGAGTTACAAAGGATCTAAACTAAATGCACCAAACACAATTTGATCGTGTACCGAGTTCCAGCTATCGGTTTGCCATTGCTCGCAAGGCCCGGTGTTGCACATCTCCACAACCTTAGGAGGCGAATCACCACAGAAGTTGTCCGAGACAACGTGACCATCCATACGACACAAATAACGTTTCTGCCGTTTGCCTGTGCCACATATTGCTGCACACTGTAACCGATATGCATAATAATCATAATTTGTAAAATAGAGCATAGGGAGATGCCAATGTGCTTGAAACTGTTCCGTTCGAAGTGGATTCGATTAGATTCGACATTTTTGATATCACGCGTGTAATTAAAAGTTCCTAACACTTACAGGCGACCATTGTTCGAACTCCCACGTAGGACACGCGCTCAGTTCGCAAGTCTTCTTCAGAGGTTTCTCATGCCTGGGACAATTATTTTCGGGCACGGGTCTCCCATTGGAGTCCACGCAAGTGGCTGTTCTATGCTGAACGCCGACTCCACAGGTGACATCGCAGTTGTTCCATTCCCCGTAAAGCCACTCGACGTTGTCGCAAGGACCTGTGCAATTTTTGTCTTCGTCGGGTCGTGGTAGATGGGCACAAGCTTGCATGGGAACAGAGCGAGGAGGATACTCCGAGTTCCGGAAACTCTGAATACACCTTGACGTTACTGTCCGTATGCCTGAGCCGCAATGACTAGAACACTCTGACACCGATGTCCGCCACCTGAAACAATCGGACACTTTTCTTAAATTCTTAACCCTTTGCGCTCGAGTGGTGACTCTGAGGCACCACTAAAATTTGTTATATCACGTTTTATGATAATTTTTATATTAACAAAGTTTAGATATAATAAATTGTTAAGAGTGTAACTGTTGCGCGAGTCCCAAGAATCAATTTAATATGCATAAAATGCATTTTGTCGTATAAAATAGAAATACTATAAGTTAGAAGAATGATCTTATATTTGCAGTTAAAATAGCTTCGAGTGCAAAGGATTAATCGTTTGTCGCGTACGTTCTTGCCGGAGTCCTCGAAGCAACCACAGTAATGTCTCCCTAACTGACGCTCAGATTGTGCACAAAAATAGATAATTCGATAATAATTGAGCTTTGTTGCTCGTTTTTTATGGTTATCGATTATCAACAACTATAAAAACGAGTCGCAAGATTTAAATAATCGTATCTCCTCTTTCTAAATTTCTTCCTTGTCCATTTCTGTACACAACCTGAGCGTCAGTAAGGGAGACATTACTGTACATGTCACATACCTAATTGACGCTCAGATTGTGCACAAAAATGGACAATTTTGGAAGAGAAGATTCGATTGTTCGAGCCCTGTAGCTCGTTTTTTTACAGTTGTTGACACTTCGTGACTATAAAAACGAACCGCAAGGCTCGAATAATCGTATCTTCTCTTTCCAAATTGTCCATTTTTCTGGACAATCTGCGCGTCAATTAGGGAGACATTACTGTATTGGACAATCGGATCGAGATGGTAGAACAGAGAGTTTGCGCCCGATGACAGACGATTGATTGCTAAACGAATGTATAATTCCACCGAAACAATATGCCGAATTCATACGCCTGTATGAATACAGTCCGTTGATCGGAAGAAGTCCACCGAGGAAAATATAGTAAACGCGTTTCCCTTATTAGCTGAAATACAGTAATGTCTCCCTTACTGACGCTCAGAGTGTCCACTAAATTGGATAATTTGAGAAGAGGAGATACGATTATTCGAGCCTTGCGGCTCGTTTTTATAATTGTGGACAATTTATAACTATAAAAATAAACCGCGAGGCTCGAATAATCGTATCTTCTCTCCCCAAATTGTCCATTTCTGTGGAAAATCTGAGCGTCAATTAGAGAGACATTACCGCATGTAGCAAGCATGTACTGCATCTTGCTCTGCCCTCCCTCCCCTCTCTCTTTCTATATACAAATAAGCCTGATCTGCGATGATTTCTGGTCCAGACTTACTTCAGATGACAGTGATTGTTGCATGTCTGGCTGTCTTCGCGGGGTCTCTCCTCTTCGCGACAATAGCCATTAGGGACAACGTCTTTGTGCTCGGTGCTCTTGCATTCCGCCTTACGGTACTGCATTCCCTCGCATAAACGGCTGCACTGGGACCAGTTGCTGAGAATCCAAATGTAGCTGTGCAGAATTTTCTTGGATATCGTGTATTCGTACGTTATTTGAGGTGGCTGACCTGACACGCATAATACCTGGGAAACATCGGACGATCAGCGAGCCTCCGAGCGAAGGAATTTCTCAATGAACCCCTTAAGTATGAACGAGAGAGGTCCGACAAAAGTCGGCGTCGCGGCGTTATTTACGCCCAAGGACGTTCGCTATTAAACAAACTAGGACCGCGGCGAAGGGAATTAAGGGAACGGTACTCACCTCTAGTATCAAGTCAGTGCCGATCGGCTTCGAGCTGTTCAAACGTTCCACGACAGAGTCGTACCCGTTGTAATCTACGGCGACACCGTAACGCTCGTCGCCGATCACTCGCGCGGTCATCATGTATTTCCCATTGAGAATATGTTCTCCGCCTTCTCCGAGTCGCAAAGCTGTGTAAAACGTTTTATCGTGGTGTTTGCATAGCAAGTGCCGGGTCGTTTCGTTAAGTATTCGCGCCGTAAGCCGGAAAAGAAGCCGGCGAAGAGGCCTTGGCCGATAATAAGAGAGCGCTATCGAAGCGCCGCGGGAGTAAATTCAATAATGAGGAATCGTACCGAGATAATTTTGGTCGTACTGCGTTTTTAAAAAGCTGTGCTGCCTAATGTCGATGTAACGGCTCCCCGCTGGTATCGTGGTCACCCTGACGTAGCCTTGCCGCGTGGAGTTATAAGAGCCGGTGATCCTCTGGCAGGTGGAATTGTCGCCCTTGCACACGCCGCAAGTGTCCAATTTCGCGTCCGAGTTTAAAACACGATCGCATCCCGCTGGCCTACAATAGCCGTTCACGCATATGTGAAAAGTGTCCATACCGCATGGCGTTCCGTCGAGCACCTTCTCCTGCAGCGAGTAGTACTGATTGCTTTCCACTTCGCAGTACAATTTACAACGTTCGTGCGGCAGTACTGAAAACGAATTTACGAGCAGATTAGTTCCAGCGAATTTCTGATCTCGAGACGGTCATCTTCAGGACGCCGGTACACCACTGCTGGATAGCAATGGACGCGAGGGGCAAAAGTGTTAAGCACCCGTACTATGTCTTACGGCTGAATTATTTGAATTGTGCGATCAAGATTGGATTATTGTAATTATAAACTGAGACAGTTTTGCATTTTGATGTTCTTTTTCCGTGATTCGACGATATAAGTTGATATTTAGCTCGTTTTCTCTTGTTTAAATCATTCTGTTTTTCTGGCTTCGATTATGGTTGTAACTCGTTGTTCGATTGTCCCTTTCTTTCCCTTCTTTGGCTTGATCAGTAGATGTAAATTTATTTTATTTTATATATTATTTATTATATTATTTTATTTATATTATTTATTATTATTATTATCTCATTTTATTACTTACTTTATTCCATTGTGATCTCATAATTAGTTATGCGAATATTTACACGAACGTTTCTTGAAGTTATTTACAAGTTATTTTCGATATTTTCTAGTTTTAGCAGTGCAGCGCTTTCTTAATTTCGGTCGCACTATTGCGGCACCACGAAAATTACTTACTTCTGTTGTACTTAGCAGACCATGTCACGTTCTCCGGAAGGTCGGGTATGTTCATGTTGTTGTTGTTGAAATACGCGCACTGCATCTCCCTGCAAAGCAGATATATATACTCGTGGATTAATTGAAGCATCGGCGCACGGAAGGGTTGCATGTGAAACGCTCGCATTTTAGATAAAAGAAAGTCCACCAAAAATGACAAATTACGAACTATAATAATATAATAATACAATATAAACTCGAAAAAATATAATAATATAATATAATATAATATAATATAATATAATATAATATAATATAATATAATATAATATAATATAATAATATATATATATAATATAATATAATATTATTATATATAATATATATTATAATATTATATAATTATATATTATGATATTAATATATAATATTATAATATAATATAAAATAAATGACGAATTACATACGAAACTAAGGTAACGAAACAATTAGGTAAATTATTTCACGTGAAACGTCCTCGTAATTTCAGAATTCGTCGCTTCTTCGTCTCAAAATCTCGTTTCTCATTTGCTCTACTATTGGGTTGGCAACTAAGCAATTGCCGATTTCAGTTATAGATGTCTCTCACTCCCATTTTTATGATATCCGTAAATGTTATATTATAAAATTATTATTATTATTATGTTATTTTTTATTATCCGCGAATGTTAGCAACTGGACAAATTGAATGCAGCGGTCAAGGAAAAGCGACCAGAATCGGTCGATCGTAAAGGTGTCATTTTCCAGCAGGACAATGCTAGGCCGCACACGTCTTTGTCCACTCGGCAAAAATTGATGGATATTGGTTGGGAATTGATGTTACACCCACCATATAGCCCTGATCTCGCGCCATCGGATCACCACTTATTTCGATCCCTGGACAACTCCCTTCGTGGTAAAACTTTTAA